TTAACGCTGTATTATTCTATTTCCACTAAGTAGACATCCCATAATTTTTATTGTACCCACTTTGCCTTCGATTTCAAGTCCCAAGAAATGATTTATAGCATCCTTGTCGTTTAAATATCAAACATTCTAAGTACTTATATGTCCTTTTTTATAGAAAATAAGTTTTGCCCTTATAAAACATGATACCAAAATGTCGTTGAAATAAATGCAAAATTATATTAATTTCATTATCCGAATTTTTAGTGTATACACACTAAGTATACTTCAATTTACATTGCGAAAATCCCATATTAACTAAGATTTCATGTGCCTTGTGGTTTCACTCACGATTTGATTGTTTAAGAAACTACAATGCTTTTTTCAATCTGGAAATATTATAAAATTTCTTAACTAAAACATCATCCTAAAAATTTATTTACTCTTATTTAAATATAAAATATAATACGAAATAAACGTATAATGGATAGTCGGGGTTAAGGTCCATTTTAATAAAATTTGTACCCATAACTATCATCATTAAATATAATTTAAGTATGTGTGTGCCTGTATGTTTATAAATTATGAAGGTCGAATTATTAAGAAAATTTGGGAAAATATAGTAAAAGTGTAAATTAAATGATTACTCTAAGTTCATATATAACATATATATTTAACAACTTAATGCTTATGTACTCATACCCTATTTTCTATTTAAGAAATACTTACCATCATATTTATTGTTTTAATTCTCTTTGCATGTATATATATATATATATGCAAGTGATATAATTGTAATGCAATTCTAATAATTTATTCTATAAATTTTAATTAAAAATAATTTATGGCTGATTTCGATTTTTGATAAGAAGGAAAAAAAAAGTATGTACTTACACAATTGTATAAAATTTAATTAAAAAATACACAGAAATTTTTTCTCATAACAGAAATTTTAAAATTTTTCAATCAACATTTAATAGTAGATGAATTTTATTTATAAAATTCATTATGTCTACGGGATTATTCTTACCTTTGTTTTTCCATTTGTTTTTGTGTATTCGTTGCTTTTTTGCTTTTGTCTCTGAACACTTTGAATCAATCTAGACATTAGAAAATTTTATTGGTATATTTATAATGCCTTTGTTAGAGTTTCTGTTTTAATTTATACGCATTCGCTGTATTTTATTATTTGGTATTTAACAAGCAAATTTTATATATATACATTATATGCATTTAAGTACATTATGTATAAGTATTCTAGTTATAACTATCAATAAGTATATAAAACATTATATTTAGATATATATACATACTTACATACTTGTTTTATATTATAGTTGCATTTCTTTTTTGATTTAATCAAAAAATTCACTCCATTATATTTGTAAATAAAATAATATAATTTTATCACTAGAAATATTATTTATATCACGTGTACATATTTATGTATATATGTATGTATAAAAAAGTGATTTTGGATTAATTTAATCAAATAATTTAATTAAGTTTCTATTTAATACTTTTTTAAGTTTTATTTGAAAAATTGTTATATATACAATAGGTTTATACTTATCACTATGTGGAAGTACTGAAAACTAAATTATGTAGATTCGTAGTTATATATACATATGTATATACATATCTTAATTGTTTGTATACATTTGTGAAAGTTTTGAAACTTCTTAAAAGTTAGTAAGTATAATTTTTAAATTAAGTATCAAGAACAAAATCAATATTTTTATGTACATGTATGTATAGAAGTGTAAGTGAGTTAATTTGAAAATTCCAAACTTATTAATTACTTACATAAAATTACTTCAACTTTTGTTTTAGCTATGTATGTATATATATATGTATATATGTATATATGAGTATATATATTACAATTTAATAATGAAATAGCTAATATGAACTTAATAATGAAATATAGCTAATTTTGTGAGGCAATGTTTGTGTTAAGTACCTATATTTTTGTGTTAAGTACCTGTACGCACAATGTATTTGTATAGCTAACAATTTTGAGCATTATACAAAAACTGATTGGTTTTCATTTAATAAGAATGAATATTAAATAATTTTATAAGTACGTATACATAAATGTAAATATGAAATATGTACGCTAAAAATGTCAAATTTATTATTATCAAAAAAAAAAAAATTAATGCAGCTGTTCTTAAATATTTCATATAAGACAAATAGAATTTTAAGTATTAAAACATGGTTAATTGAAAATCAATTCCCTCACTCAAAGAGGTTAAGCACTCTTAACAGAAATTTATTTGGCGGGATTACTTTTTCATGAAAATAAGTTGAGATCGCTTCAATACTTTGTAGAGAAAGAACATTTGCAAGTGAAAATAATTAAAAAAAAAAATATGATGTTCAATTGAATATATTTACTTATATTATTCTCAATTTTATAATTGTTGGATACTGTAAGGATGAAAGCAAAAATAAAATGAGTATAGTGAATTTAATACTTACGGTTCAAAATAAATCGTTACTGATATTTTTGTATTTCTATAATTTTTCTAATAAAATATTTTATTTTGATTTTAAATAAAATATTATTATATATGCACAAAACTAGCTGTTTGTTAATATACAGAAGAAGCTACTGAAATTTAAGTCTCAAACAGAATATACCATCCAAGAGGAAGACTACTTTAAAGATTTGGAAACAAGATACCATATTTTTATGTTGTCGGAATTTCAAAAATGTTTATGTTTCCATAAAATAAATTCTGATAGTATTTGTAGTATTTGGACATTGAGGGCCACTACTTTTAGAGTAGGAGAGTTAAATAAGAAACAGAGGCATGGGCGGATAAATTTAAGCTAATGAGAACATTTTTTTTTAATAATGCTGGAAATATAAAAAGAGAAAAAAGTATACCGGTGTTAAAAATTGAAAAAAGAAAAATATAATAATGATTAATTGCATACCAAAGCTTATTTCACTACGAGTATTAATTTTCTTGTATATACTTGGGTGACGATAAAGATTGCAATACATAAGTACTTCATGTTTTTTTGTTTTAATTTATTGTATGAAATAATGATTCTATTATTGTTTTCTAAATTTCCCTATAAACAATTACTGTTTCTGTTTAATCTTATGATACAAAGCTCTTTGTTTAACAATATTATTATCATTATAATCTGTTATGTTTGTTTTCATTATAGTCTGTTATTGTAAGTTTAAGTAAGTACTTAAATATTTTATATGTTAATGGATCGAAAAATTATTTTAGTTAATTTAAAAATATTATTCCAAAAATTTTATTTCCTTAAGTAAATAAATATTAAAATTTACTATATTATATATATATATGTACATGTACATAAACGTATGTTACAAAAAATAAGTGAAATTTTTGCTTAAATATTATAAGTAAGTAAGACATTAATCTTTTCTATTAATTGATAAAACAGAGTTACACTCTAATCTCGATTTGCAATAAGTGTCCCGATTATAGTATAATAGATAAGTAATTCAAAATTATATATATATATACAACTGTATAAAATTATATAATTTATTATTTTTAATAAAAAATATAACATTTAAATAATTAATAGACTTTTATTCAATATTTTGAAAAATATTTTTACATTACTTATGAAAATATCCTTAAGGATTATTGAATGTTTTGTTTTTTTTTTTTTTTCATTAATTTTTTCTGTAAATTTTCTATTGAATAATGATTAACTGACGGTCCTGTTTTCGTTTATTTTTTTTTATTTCTCATGTTTTTCTTTAATCGTTTATTGTACCTAAATTTTTCATTATTGAACATATCTACATAAGTACATGTATATATTTCGATATAATATAGTATTTGTGTACATATATATATATAACATGTATGTTTGTTAAACTTATGCTTAAGTACCTCTATCATTCTCTTTTGTGTTTTTTTATTTTCGAATTGGATTTTTTTTTAAATATAAGAATACAATATAACAGTAAAAAATGTATGATATCGCCGTACATCAGTAGCGCTACTTTACTCGCTATGTTTCTATTGATAAACAAATATAACAATAAATATATTATTTTGTTATACTAAAAGTATATTATTATATTTTCTTTCCCAATTATTTTTTGTATTTGTGTTCACATTCTTAAATAAAACAGAAAGAGAATATTATGTATTTTATAAATAAAGTTATGTATATATAGAGAGAACTAAAAGAAAATTGTAAAAAAATATATATGTATCTACATAAAATATACATACTTATAAGTATAAGTAAAATATAAAATAAGAAAAATATAAAAAAGACAATACAACACGCCTACACAAAGACATTTTTCATTGCAGTTGGAAAGATTATTTAATGTGTCCTTTTTTTTGTATTTTTGGCTTTTGTTCTTTCAGTTTTTTTTTTATTTTTAATGTTGATAAAGAGAAAAAAACAAAAAAAATTAGAAAAAGAAATTTAATGGAAAATCATGTAAAAGTTCTAAATTGAAAGAATAGTGAAAAAAAAAACACAAAATAAAGAAAAACAAAAAATTTTTATAAAATATTTCGTATTGAAAATTATACTCCTAGTGAAATAAAATAAAAAATAAATAAATAAATAAATAAATAAAAAGTTGTGTATTATATTTTCTAAGGAACTGCTCCAAATTCTAAATAACAAAAAAATAAAAAAATACCAAACAAGAAAATAAAAAACAAGTGAAAATTTCAAAAGTGTGTTAAAACACAATTTCAATTTTTCAAAAAAAAAATTACAAAAACAAAAAAAAAACAAGTATAACAATAAAATACAAATTTATATATAAATATAAGTTGTACATAATTATATACATCAATATATATTTACAATTATTGAATATATACTTACATACCTACAAATACTTAAACTCATATATATATATATATATATATATATACATATATTTTTTTTCAATTTTAACTTACTGTTCAAAATCATCTTTAAAATTTTTGGTTCATTTTTTGAATAGTTTTTTTTTTTTTAAATATGCATACTTACTCATATATAAACAAAATACAGACACACATGTATAAAATAACATGTTCTAGTTATTAGTTTTCTTTTATGGCAAATTAATAAAAAAAAATTAAAAGACTTAAAAATAATATTATAAAAATATAAAAATTAAAATAAATCAACTTTTATAATATTAGAACAATTTCAAATTATGGATAAAATTGTTTTATTTACGTCGATTTATCTAGTGATATTTTCATCACAATGTATTTTTGTAAAAGGTAAGTGTACTTTATATATAAATACATACACAAATAACAACATATAAGTATACATATAAATATGAATTTATAATAATTATGTATAGTTGTAGGGTATATCTATTAAAATCTATAATCTATGTGTTTGTTTATCGCACCCTTAAAAATAGTTTACCGCATCCTTAGGTTTAAAGAATTTTTGTTTTAAAAATCTTAATTTGAAAAGTTTTTATAATTTATTGATTAAAATTATATTAAAAATAGCAATGAGATTTTTTTTCTAAATTGAGATTCTTAAATCTATTTTTTATTTGTTTCAAAATAATTTTTGTATGCTTAAGTACAATTACCTTACGAAACAAAATAAACTTATTCTTCACATTTATCGCGTAAAATTAAATTTATTTTTCAGTATTTAATTTTTGCAGAATTCAATTCCCAGTTGTTTTATATTTAAGCCAAGATAAATCCAATTTGAATAAATTTATTTTTCTTAATGTCTATTATTTAATGTATCTATCAGGCCATCAAGTTCGAAGTGCAAATCAAAAAAAAATTCCAAATTTATATGGAGTTTAAATGAAAGATGAGTCGGAATTTGTTTGTGTGAAGGAAATTGATCAATATTTTTGACTCAGTTTAGAGACCTGATAGATATAATGGCATTAGTTTTCCTATAAACGTTAATAAAGGTTGGACCTTTGATTTTTCTTTGCATTCTTGAAATAGTTTCAATTCAAACAATTATTTTAAAAACTTGCATGTTTAAATTTTATCAATTTTTTAGAAACTTTTTAGAACGTGTTTTACAGAAATTTGTGATATTATACACTTCTAAAATACATACAAAGTAAATTAAAGTAAGTATAATTCTTATACGAGTTCCTCACAAACCGGATAAAACCATTAAACTTTAAAACAAAATCGGTTTAATGAACTAATAATGAATAATTGAACAATGGTTAAGTGAATGACAGTTTGCGTTTATATTTTCGATAATTCTTCAATTTTTCATTTTTAGCACTTTTCCAAAAAAATTTTGAAAAAAGTACTTATTGGTTTCACTCTGTCCGTCCGTCCGTGCGTCCGTCCGTCTGTCCGTGTGTCTGTTTACAAAACTTCTACACCCGTGAAGATAGAAACCTTCAATTTTGTATAGATCTTTACTAGAAATTTATTTCCGTAGAACAAAGTTTTTACCTATCTCCCCCCCTCTAGAAGTTCTACCCCCCAAAACCATAAAAATGGCCTTTTTTTAACTAATTGTTGCAATGAAACCATAAGCAGTTTTGAAATTTTGGCAGAAAGGCAGTGGCTTGCTTCCTCTAGCGGGGTATACTATAGTTAAACTTTAGAAAAACAAAATGTCCGTTCAAATTTACCGTTATCTAAAGTCCTTTTTTTCCAAATTTTTGATGTCGTTTTTCTTCTAGACCCCAGCCTGCAGAAGCTTGAAATTTTTGAAAGGAGATTTTAGACATTAACAAATAATTCATTTCGTTAGAAGAAAATTTTTTTCCATCTCCACCCCCTCTCAAGTTATGGCCTCTTGAAATTTGTAATATTTGAATTTTTGACACCTTATATTTCCGAAACCGCAAGCTTTTTCAAATTTCTATAAACGCAAAAAGCTAACGGTAAATTCCATGACATTAAAAAATATAGTTATTTTTCTTAACTCACACAATTAAACCTTAAAATCAAGCATTATGTTAACCCCACTTTATATTAAGTTTTGCTTTATTTCAAAGACTGCATAAATCGTTCATCCTAAATATATGCAATCCTAGAAATAGTTTTTTATATGAATGAAAGTAATTTTAATAGTGTGATAGGTGTACATAGACTGTATTTAAAAGCAGAATTTTCACTTGTTGAAGGGAAAAGTGCTACAATACAAACCATTGGTTTGACCCAACTTTATGTTAAGATGTATTAGTCTACGTTTAGAGGTGCTATGCATATTTTTATACAATGTACAATCTATTACACCAATATATAACAGAATTTTTATTCATAAATTTATAAATTTGATTTTTTAAATTAAATAAATATTAATAAATAAATAAAATAACAAAAATTGTATATAAACATTATAAGTGCTTATATACATACATATACATACATACATATGAACGACATAAAACCGTTGTACAACACAACACAGACAACTTTTTTTTTTCTATTTTTATTTCCTCTTGTATTTATTTATTTTTCTTATTTTTCTTTTACTATTTGGGTTCTTTGTATTTTTTATGAATTGCATTTAAAATTTATTCTTGGGGCCCTTATTAATTTTTGTTGTTTTAAAACAAAAAAAAAAATTTAAAATGTCTAGATATTTTTACATTCAATTTCAGTAGTCATAGTTTACCGGTTGATTGTAACAATGGAATTGAAATTTATTTAGGATTAATAAAGAATTTTCAGAATAAGTAGTTAACTTTAGAATGCTATTTTAGTAATACTATTTAAGTAAATGAAAATAAATTTAAATGATAATCTGCTAGCGAGCAATTTACTTGAGTTTTAAATAAGAAACCTGATTGTATCTTTACTTTTCAATGAAGAAATCCAAAATAAATAATAGTACTTAATTAGTTTCTCTACAATCTTTAGATAGTCGTACTTACTTAAGTATAACGAAGTACATATAAGTAAGTGCTTGCATATTTTAAAGAGTTATACTGACGATTCATTTTAATTACTTAAATTAGATATAATTAGGTACCTACATACATAATTAGTTATTTATATATTTTTGGCATATATACTAAAACGGGTAAAATAAATGGAAACAGTTGAATTTTACTCTTACGATTAGTAAAAGTGGCTTTAAATACCTAAGTACTTATATCGTCTAGTTTTTCGAGAAACAATTTCTATTTATTACTTAAGCATATGGAATTCTATTAATAGTTCATTTATACTAATTAAATATATTCTTACATTAATCTTTCAAATAGCCTAAAATACACAACGTGTGGTAAACAATCTTACTGAGTTACCTGTGCATGTAATAAGTCTTATATTTATATATAGAGCTAGATGTCATACTTATTCATAACAAAAACCAAGGGAGGAAGAAATTGCGTGAAGATGAAAATCAAAATATTTAGGAAAAAGAAAACCAATAAAAATAGCCCATTCTTAATTTGGTGTTATTTGCATAGTAAAATTTTCTATACTCACTGATAACTATACGTACATAATATGTATGTAAATATATGTAAAAAATTTCTTTAAGTACATTCTTCTAATATACTTACTTGTGTTTAAGTAAATATACCTTGTTACCTATTAACTTAAATATCTATGTAAAAGTATGTATTCGTACATTTATTTAAATAAGTATATCCGGATATTTAAGAAAATTAGTTTTTATTTTATTTTAAAATGATATTGATCAAATTGAATTGAACTATATGAATTTCCGTTTATTTTATTTGTTTATGTAAATAAGTAGGCATATTTAATTAATATTTATATTATTATAGACACAATTTTATAGATATAAGTAATTAATTATACAAATAACAGTGCGGTTACTAAATTGCTTGTGAAACAACTTACGAACATTGATTTGCATGAAAAGAAATATAATTTATGGTTTATTGTTCTGATACGAGTATATTTTAACTACGTGGTGGAAATGGGGAAAATATTTTTTGTAATATAGTCCAGAAAAACGTTTTAGTAAGATGAAATTTCAGTTGAAAGTACTTATGTGTTATTACATGTAATTATTTAGTAGTGTTTTTTCATTATAATGACAATTAAGAATGACACACGATTAAAATTTTACATAAAACTCATTTTTCAATAAAAACAGAATTTTAAACAACTACTTAAACATTATTAAAAATAAATATTTAACTATCTTATGCATTTATTTTTATAATTTTAGCTCAACAAAGACCTAAAATCGTTGAACATCCAGCTGATGCAATTGCTGCTCGAGAAGAACCATTAACCTTAAATTGTAAAGCAACAGGAAGACCAACACCAGAAATTAGTTGGTATCACAACGGTACACCCTTAGGTAAGAAAAAATATTTGTAATTGCAAACGTAGAACAAATCGAAAAAAATTGTACTTGTGAAATGAAATGCTATTCAAATGGTCTTCTTAGTTGTACAAACACAAGCGAATACTATAAACATAATTTTCGGTCACATAGTACAATATTTGTTTGTTTATTTTACGAATATTTGTATATAGGTCAACAACTTTAAATATATAATTTCATTGAAGCAAATCTTAAAAAAGTGTGACCATTCTGGCTGACAATATTTAGGTGATTTTTGTCTAATAATCAATTCCACAAACTTTTCACACTGATTTGAAATGATCGCTTGGTTTGTTTCATGTTGCATTGTATTTGTTGAAACAAGATGTAAGTCGAGACAATTAAATTGCGATCATAAAAATTGCTAAGCATCGTTCAATGATGATCGCTAAGTGATTTAAAGAAATATTATTTTTAAAGAAATAATGACTAATGAATTACAACGCCACCTCTTGACGAAACTAATTATTAAAGTCTCCAGAGAAGGAAACAAAAATTAATAAAAGTGTTTCAATGTTGTGGCAATTGATCAGTATGAAAGTCTTATTCATAAACGAGTTCGATATTAAAAATTTTATTATTCTAGTGCTCATTACATACTGTTTGTATGTTATTTTAAAAGTAATTTTCTTTTGTATAATTTTCGGTTTAAATATAACTTTTAATTTTTATAACTTTTATTTTATATTATGTTTTCTTCAAAAATATATGTATCTAAGTAATAAGTTTTTAGTCAGCACTTCAGCAGAATATTTAATATGGCAAAATTTGATTTTATTTAATTTTTTGATTTATTAAATTGTATTTTATCATATAAATTTGTTAATTTATGGAAATTATACTAGTTTTTTGTATTATTTTTATGTTCAGTGCCATCAGAAAGACGTGTAATTTTACCAGAGGGTTCATTGTTTTTTCTTAGGTAAGTTCATTATAAAATAAATGTTTCTTTTGTTTAATTAAAAAGTATACACGTATAATATAAGTATGTACGTGTTCACCTGTATTTTATTATAATAAAATTTATAATTATAAATCTTATTAATTAAGTACATATTTCAAAATAATTTTAAGCTTAATAGTTATTATTTAACTGTAATTAGCATTGGTAATTTAATTGATTCTCCTGACATTGGATTCTAAATTATTTTCTTAGAAACTTTATCCCTTGTCAATTGACTACGTGCTAACTATGCAATTTATACTGAAATGTTTGCAAAATTAAGATTTGATAATTAAATACTTACTTATATAAAGGTTGAATTTCTTAAAATAAGTACAATATGTTACAAATACTTATAAACAATTTCCTATTTACTTTCAGCTTCGCTTATCAGGTCCTATGCGTAATATATTTATTAATGTATTAGAGAAAAAAAACAATCTCCAATCAATTATTTTCTTATTTTAACCTCAGTTCGCCTAAAAATTTTTTCTTGGAGTTTTCTTTGTTCTAATACCTTCTTTTACACATCAAATCTTTTTTGTTACTTATTTATTTTTTATATATATATGTACATACGTGTAATATATTTTTATGCATATACATATGTAAGTATATTAAAATATACAATATGTAGTTAAGTATTTGCACATACTAAAGTTGTTTATTAAGGAGATTTCCAGACAATAAAGAATTTATTTGCTCATGCAACGTGAAATAAATTTTGTTAAAATTTTAATGTAATTTTTCAAGGACCTTTTTAACTTTCATGTTTTATTAAAACATTATATCAAAGACAGGGTGTTGAAAATATTTTTGGAATGATTGTCAAAGATAACTACAGATCTTTGTTAAGAAATCCTTTGTTTAACTTGAAAAAATTAATGATTTTCTATTTTTGGTGTGGTTGTAATACATAATTTTGTAAAAAAAAACATTTGTAAAAGGTTTCTATTCTCATTTACATAATATACACATATTTTATTTGTTAATAGAGTAATGCATAACAAGCGAGAACAAGATGCAGGTATATATTGGTGTGAGGCACGTAGCACAGCTGGAATAGCTGTTAGTAAAAATGCAACCTTGCAAATAGCTGTGTTAAAAGATGAGTTTCGCTCTGTTCCAAGTGATACTTTGGCGTTATCAGGCGGACCAGTTATTTTAAATTGTACGCCGCCGCGGGGTGTACCAGAACCATCAGTTCTGTGGTATAAGGACGGCAAATTGCTTGATTTAGGAAAGCGAATATCAATGATAGAAGAAGGTAGTATTATGATATCGGAAGTGCAAGCAGTTGATGCCGGACGCTATGAATGTACAGCACAGAATATGGCTGGAATGAAATCGGCACCACCTGTTGTTTTAAAGGTTTTAACGCCTCCGACTGTTGTTAGAGGTCCTCAAGACACAGAAGTGATAGAAGGTGAAGGTCTAGATATACCATGTGAAATCAAAGGTGATCCAAAACCTAATGTTCAATGGTATCGTGATTCGGGTGGTCATTTACCCGAAGGTAGATCAAGAATACTTTTAGACAATACGCTAAGAATAGAGGATGCCCGAGAAGAAGATCAGGGTCAATATACATGCAAAGGTTTTAATGAAGGTGGAAATGTTTCCATTTCTATACGTTTAAGTATTTATGGTAATTAGTTTTTATATATTTATATACTTATGCATGTAAATTTTGTATATAAAACTTTAAACTTTTGTATATTACTTAATAATTTATTTATTTTTGTTATAGCTCCACCCACATTTGCTGAAGCACCCTCTGATGCAGAAGTAAAAATTGGAGATTCAATAAAATTGCCATGTCGCTCGTTAGGTCGTCCACGACCTGTTATTATATGGGATAAAATAACTCTTGCAGAAGGTGCAAAACTTGTCGAAAACTATTCTCACATGATGGAAGAGAAGCACCAACAAAATTTGTTAGTGAAAGAAAAAATAATGAGTTTTAGACCTAAACGCTCCGTTCGTTTATCACAAAATTCAACCAATCGTTTGGAACGTAGCGTTTTACCAACTGGGGATGAAAATGAGGAGGAAAATAAAAATTCAATGTTTAGTGAACTACCAAATACTACAACATATACAGAGGTAGGAACCTCCGTACCTAATGGCCATTCCCCTCATTACCATGTCGCTGAAAATGGCGATCTAATATTGAAAAAAGCCCAAAAATCAGATGAGGGATGGTATTCTTGTCTTGCAGTTAACGAAGCAGGTAGTTCATCTAAAAAAGTATATATCCATGTACGAGAGGAGTCTGAAGTGGAAGGAGAATTTCAAATACCTGAACCTCCTGGAAGTCGTTGGGGTACACCTCAAAATTTGTTAATTACGACTATTACTCCGATATCTTTGAATACCCTAGATGTAAATTGGGCTGTAACAGCACAACCTAATTTATTCACAGATCAGCAAATAACACTTTACTATTGGCCACTGCCTTTTAAAGACCGAAATTATTCAGCAATATTGTCAACAGACTTTATGTTCGCAGTGACAAATGTCGATAAACGAGCTCACCGACTTAAGGACTTAAAACCTTATACAGTATATGAAGTTTTTGTTTCCGTTCCCAAGGGTTTGGGTGGATCTGTTTCGAATTTACGTAAAGGAAAAACTTTAGATGGTCCACCATCCGCTCCACCAACCGATGTGCGTGTTGGGGTAATTAATAATACTGCAGCTTATGTTCGATGGTCTCCTCCACCTCTTGAACTTATTAACGGCGAACTCACAGGATATAAAGTAATTTATTTTGTAAATTATGTTTTTTTTGCTCATATTGTCATTTTAGATTCAAATTAAATCAAATATTACTAATAAGTTGCTTGGGCAAATGTCTCTTAATGCCACAACTCAATCCGTTGTAATAAATAGCTTAAGTCCAGGTGGTAAATATATTGCAAGAGTTGCTCCTTTAACTGCTGGTGGCCTTGGACCGTATAGTGAACCAGCAGCTCTACTAATGGATCCATCGTTTATTGCCAGACCTCCAAAGTAAAAATTAAATTTTTAAAATATTTTGTCAAAATTTTTAAATGTTCTCCTTTCAATTATTAATTTTGTTGATTCATTTTCTTTTTAATAATATTTCAGAACTGATCCAACAACTCACACTTGGAAGGGCACTTACATGCCTGGAATAATTCTAGCAATTGTTGGGATAGGTTTAATTAGTGGTGCAATATCTGCTATTATTCTTGCAAAGAGAGCAAAACGTAACTTGAAAGCGTCATATCCAACGGCACCAATTCTTACAACTACAACCTTGCCTGACAAGTCTTTTAACACATTATGGATGAATGATAGCGTTTCTATTAAGCCGACCCATTTATCATCTTTACCTCCAATTCCATCAGAATATGCAGAGGTTGGTAATGTTAATTTCCCCCCAAAAATACCACCAAATCCGCCACCAGAGCCATACGCGACAGTAACTTTACAACGTAATGCTAGCGGCGGTGTAATTGGTATGCAAGCTGAGGAGACAATTAACACAAAAAATAAATTTTTATTACAACAACAACAACCAAATAGTAACGACTATAATAATGGGCCACCCATTCGAGCACCGTTGAATATATGCGACATGTTGCCACCACCGCCCGATCATCCGTACGACAGCTATCATAAACCACAAATGAATAACATGACAATAAGAACCAATCCAGCAGCATTATCCCCACAAATTTTGAGAAAGGGTGGTGTCTTAATGCCGCAACAACCCCCTCCAGCTCAGTCACAAACCTTACAAAAACAATCACCAATGCAACAGCAACAACAACCGCAAATGTGGGGTACCTTACCTGACATACCGCCAGCTCCACCGATACCGAATTTTCCTCAAAATTGGTTAACACAACAACGTCAAATTGCCGCAGTTAATTCGTATAATGCAAATAATTTTGATATTGCACCTAATCACCAACTGGGAAATGATATTGGTAAGTTTTGTTAGAATTTGTCCAAAAATAATTAATTAGAAAATTTTTCTATGTAAGGCATGAATAACGGAAGCAATGAAAACAATTGTTATCCTTCAGAAAATGACTATGAGTCAGGGTCTGTTCTTTATGAACAATTCTGTCGTGAAAATGACTCATCTTACTTTACGGGTAATGGCGAGCCAACTGAACAATATTATCGCAACGTTAATATGGAATTTTTTGAGGATCAGGAATTTGAACCAGCTACACCTCCACCACCATGTCCGCCAGATTCCTCATTTAGTAAAGGGAATGGTAGTAGCAATTTACGATTATTAACAAAACCTGGTGCAACTATAACTGGAAACCAACAAGAAAATTTTTTAAGTCAAAAAAGAATGTTTAGAAATGCAGCACAACATCACGGTAGTCGAGATTCATCTTGCGATCGGAACACGAATCGTACTGTCAGTTCCGATGATAGCGAATCAGATATAGGTAACAATGGTAGCGATGCGCGTTGGGTTAATCGATCCAGGCGATCTAGATCTCGATCGAAAAGCAATGAAAGAAGATTCAGGGAACCATAGGATTTCGCTATAAATGTGTAAAAATAGTATTTAAGTTAAAGTGAAAAAATTAAACATCAACCAAATAAAATTGTTTTTGACGAATAAAATATTGTTGTAAAAAATCTTTGAAAAGTGAAAAAAACAGAGTTATAATTAAATAATTTGGTAAATTTTCCTTAGATTGGATGTTGTTTTGAATTTTATATTTAAAAATATAGTTAGCCTATGTCATGCCATCCATATAGAGTCAATTGAAAGTTGATAACAAATTTTAAAACTACAAGACTACAACATTTTAAAAAGTTCAAATTTTATATACATACTTATACTTTAAGTTTAAATAATTTTTTTAATGATAAGACGAATATCAATAAAGCATTGTAAATATAGTTGACATTTACATTTAACGTTTTGTTTAAAATGAAAAAAATATTTTAATTTAATTTAAACAAAATTCGTGCAAGTCTATTTTAGCAAAATTCGTGCAAGTTTCTTTTCAAAAACAAATTTACAACAATATTTTCTTCTTAATTTACATTTGGTAATTCTAATCCGTGTTTTATTTTAATTACACGAAATAATTTTTAGGCTTTCAAAAAATTTTGGGAACAATAGATGTGGAAAAATTGATAAAGCGAAATATTATTTTTGCACATTTGAATAGCGTGTTTAAAAAATAAAGAAAATAAATATATAAATCTATAGACATTAATAAAAAGATTGAAAGAAAAAAAGTAAATATTATATAATAAAATCCCAAAAACAAAATAAAGAAAACTAATATTTAAAATCAAAATGTTATATTCATAATTTTAATAATTGTGTACAATTATTATGAATAAGAAAAATAAATTAATTAAATGCCATTTTAAAATTTAAGTAGGAATTTTACAAAAAAAAAACATTAATTTAATTCACTTAGCATTAATTTATTACTTCTGTATTTTTTCATATACAAAAATTTTAATAATTTATTTTATAAAAAATTAATTATGTACATATGTATGTAAACAAAAATGTTCTTTATCATTTTATAAAACTATTTTAGTTTGATGAAAAAAAAATTAGAGTGCAAATATTTTAGTATTATTAAATTTTGTTCACGTAGATAAATTAATTTCAGATACAATAAATAAAAATTTGTGCACACTTGAGGAAGTTAAAATGAAATTCCTTAAAAATAATTAGCTTTTATGACATTATTTAAAGTTGAAAATACTGTTGTCAACTTAAATCAGTTTTCATATTTTTTTAAATACTTTAGTTCCCTGTTATCTTTTATATCTAATTTTAATATAATTTATATTAATTTACTGTTTTTATTTGACTAATAAATGAATAAAATATTTTAACTTTTACTTTTTTTTGAAAAAATCAAAGTTTTTATATTTAAAAATAAATAATTTAAAACTTAAACATTTTATAAACGACAGGTACACATTTTATAAATGCGTAGCTAAAATATTATTTCGATTTTTTTACGATATCTGAAAAAATATTTATTCATCGTACATACGTAAATTACGTACTTCATAATTAAAAAAGAATTAAAAAAGAATTTTAATCAAAGGGCAGTTAGATATATCAAGTTGAATACAAAAAGAATTCTGTCTGAAAGTAATTTATCTTAATGTTACAAAATTTAGCATTGTAAAAACTTTTTATACACATTTAATTTATTAATTCTAATTTATTTTTTATGAAACTTGAAAAAAAAAATTTTATTGATATATTTTTATTGACATTTATATATAATTGTAACTTGTACATTATTGTTTATTATGGTAATTAATTATGTATAAATTGCAATAATAATTTATATATTTCAAAGAAATTATTTTGCAATGAGATTTCAATTAGTTATTATTATTGTAAGTGCTTTATACAAAATAAAACTGAAACAACAAATACTCAATTTATATATGTATATTTAAGAATATTAATATATATATAAAAATATCAGTTCAAATTGTTGGATATTTATGCATATATGCATACAAATATGTATGCATATATACCATATATATACACATATTTATATAAGTATATTTAATAATTTAAAATAAAAACATGTTATATATTATATTATATTATAAAATAAATTAAGAAGATAAGTTTTCCAAACAAAACCAAACAAAAAATTCAAAAAAGCTCACATAAAAGTTATAAACAGATTTAAAAAATTAAGAAAAATATAAATTTTTTACTAAATAAAAAATAAAATTTATATGAAAAATTGACAAAAAAAAAATTCCATTGCATAATTGTATTTTAGAATAATAAATTATATACATACATTAAATATAATAATATCAAAATATTAACTATAAAACAAGGAAAAACTTTTCGCATCCAGTCTCACAAAATATTTTGCATTTTAATACGAAATTATTATTATTATAATTATTATTATTATAAATCATTATCATTATTATAATTATTATAATTATAGTAATTAGAATATAAAATAATATAAAGATATAAAGGTTTAGGAAAAAAAAAGAATTATATATATTTATACGAAATATAGTAGCAAAACATTTGTAATTATTAAAATATAACAAATTGATTCCAAATTTCATACACATTTTTTGTATATATACTAAGATTAATATATGAAAAAACAAACAATAAGTAGGAATTTTTAAAAATCAAACTAATGTAAAAAATAAAACATTATTGAAATTTATCTTATACGCTCTAAAAAATGAATTGAATATTTTCTGTAAAAAAATTAATTTACAATTTTTTTTTTACCTCCCGTAAGAAAACCAGAAACTTTAATTAAGTAATTTTAGAAAAAGGAAAAATTAATGTATTTGTATGGAAAAATGTTTTATATTATATTAAAAAAGCTTTTCTTTTATATCGTAAAAATAAAAAAGATACAAAAATTACGAATCGACTATTCAGGTTTAAAATAAAAGCCTTACGAACAGTCGTTAGGATTTTAGTGTATCCTTCCAAATTAACTATTTCAATTTATTGTTGATTTTCTGACATTTGTTTGATTTTAGCTTGGATTTGTCAAATTGGATTTTTAATAAATTTTAATAATTCAGATATATTCAATTCATTATTAAATAACATCTGTTAAATATAACAAGTAGTAAAAAAAAGGAAAAAAATAAAATCGTAATATTTAAAGTAAATTAAAGCATATTAATTAAAAATAAAAAAAATTCATATAAAAAGTTTTTCAATTGTGATACTTAATAAATACATATATATACATACTAATGACAAATTAAGAGTAACAAACTTATAATAAAAAAATTAAAACTTATTGTTGAAATTATTAAATTAGTTTTTTCTCTTCATTACAATTTAGTATCCAAACTGATAGCTTATACGTTATAACTATATTTGTATATACATTAAAATATATAAAAGTATATATGATTCTCCAAAAAAAAAAAAAAGAATAATTCAAAGGTTAAGCTAAAAATTAGAAAAAAAATCAAGCCAAATAGTGCCATATATATACAAATGAAAAGTGGATGGTAATTTAAATTAAAACAGAAAATTTTAACTACTATGTACTATGTTTGAAAATTTAAGAAATATGAACACCTAAATTATACTTTGACAATTTTACTTTTAGTTAAAACTTTTTGTAAACAGAAAAACCAATTTGTCCTCGTTGCGTTACCATTAACCTTGTAACAGAAAAATTTTGTAGTAATCCGGTTCTTGTTATTTCAATTTTGTAAACTGGCAATGAGGTTTTCCCTTCTGTTCATTTTAGTTCATTTGAAAGAGGAAAACTATTTAAAAAGTAATTTTTTAAAATTTATCAGTATTAGATTTTACATTAAATTTTGTTTTTTTTTTTTTAATTCTGTGAAAGTCATCATATTATGTGTATTGAAATAATTTTTTGTTTAATTTCGAAGGTCTTTTTCATTTCGAAGATTTTTGAAATCAACTGAAAAGGTAATAGTAATAAATCAATTTATTAGAATGAAAAATAAACGATGGTTCCTAAAAGTAGTTAATATATTTTTTTTTTGCCAACATGGTTATAAATGAAGGAAAGCAATGTATTATGCTTTACTTTTTTAATTTTAAATTAATGCATAATTTTGTATTTAAAACATAAATTCTAAATTAAAATTAGGTATTTTGACGGAAAGTTAAAATTGTCAAAGAATAATGTAACTTTTTGAATATTAAAACATATACATACTATATACATAACATAATACATAATAATACTCAAATATTAATATTTATATTTAATATATACGTATATTTGCAGCTTCTGTTAGATTTTTCAATTCGCTTATAAGAAAGTTAAAATTTAAATACAAAAAATAAAAATTAAAAAATAAAATAAAAAAGATAGAATCAAAAACAAAAAACGTAAACTGTAATTAATAAGCAATTAATAATTATAATAACTTTTGCAATATATTTAGAAAATAGTAATTTATTTATATACAAATATACATATATAAAAAATAATTTAGCATATTTAATTAAAATAAAAAAAAAATATTAAAACATAAGTTAAATTTCAAAGGAAAATTGTGTGCATTAAGATTAAAAATTTGAAATAGAAAAATTATAATTGTTAGTTTTTCTATCTAAAACAAACAAACAAAATACAAAACCAAAAAAAAAAAAACAAAAAAATTAAAAGAAAAGCATAAAAAAAAAGGAAAAAAATATAAAATTTAAAATTTGTTTTCTTCAAAAAAAAATAAAATAAAACAAAATAAAAAATACTATAAAATCATTAAATTAATATAGTTATCTTATAAACCATTTTTGAAAATCGTAACCAAAATATAAATATTAACTTTTGTTATTTGAAATCAAGTATAAGAAGGTAAATTTAAAATATTTAAATTTTTTTGAGCTTATACAACATTTAAGTCGTGCTATTAACTACATATTTCTGGAGTGGTATTAATATTTTTGTTATAAATTAAATAACATTAAAATTTTATATATAAAAATATTGCATTCATTATTTCATTTACAATATGAGTACAAATATTAATTTAACTTTATAAAAGTATTTATAAAAGTTTATATTTCGATTTTTTTTCAGTTTTTTCTATTATATAATGTAATTTATTGTGTAATTACTTACCTTTTATTTATTTACATGTTCAATAATATTTAATCTAATTGCACTTATTATGTAATTTATTTTACATTTATTATGTAATTAAGTACGACTTAAATTGTATATCAAGTAGAAGTTATTGAAAGCAAACAAAAAACTTTTGAAAGTGAAATAATATATGTATATTGTGTTAAACATGTTAAAAATAATAATGATTTAATTATTTCTGTATACGTCAACAATGGAATTGGAAAATTAATAAATTTTATTTGATTAAATGCAATTAATGACACCGTTTAGTGCCGTAAAATTTGCAAATAATGTATGTATTTAAAAGGGAAATTTGTATAGTATAACAATTATTTCAAAAATTTTATATGTATTTAATTTTCAGCATGTAAAAACATAAAACT